ACAGAAAGAAAGCAAGCCAGAGCCCCAAACAACTAGCAATCAAAATGAGATAAGGCCCTCGGCTGGTGTAGCTCAATGGATTGAGCGCAGGCCTGCGAACCAAAGGATTTCGGTTTGATTCCCAGTCAGGGCATATGCCTGGGTTGCAGGCCAGTTCCCAGCAAGGGATGCACAAGAAGCAACCATACATTGATATTTCTCTCTCTCTCCTTCCCTTCCCCTCTAAAGATAAATAAATAAAATCTTTAAAGAAAAGAAAATGAGATAAGGCGGCATATCAGCTAAATACAGTGAACGGCCCTTGATGGGACCCAGGAAGCAGGACAGGAGCTCTGGATCAGGTCCGAATCGGAGTTGGCGACCTCGGGGCAAATTCGATTTGTCCACAAGGGACAAATTTGTCACAAGGGGAAGGAGTCACAAGGGCCATTATTGGGCAACTGCAGAAAATTTAACAGGAAGTATTTATTTATTAGGTAATAGTGTTGTATCAGTGTTATATGCATTGAGTGTGATGATTATGCTGTGACTATACTGGAAAATATCCTGGTTCTTAAGAGATACAGGCTGAAGTATTTAAGGGTAAAATGCCTCGATGCTCGCAACTTGCTCTCGAGTGGTTCAGGGAAAAGTCCGTGTGTGTGGGAGTGTGGATGTGCCTGGGGACAGATGACCCGAGAGCCAACACGGCAGAACGTCAGCGGTGAATCTAGGTGAAAGGCGGAGTTAGGAGTGTTTGCTGTACTATTTCAACCCGTCTGTAGATTTGAAATCAAAATTAAGTCAGGAAACATTAAAAAGCCGCTGGGGAGTGAGGCGCGGCGGTGAGAGGGGCTGGCAGGTGCTCTCCGCTGGCCCCTGGATGTGCGGGGAGTTCTGTCTGCAACTGGCCCCGTGGCCCCCGCCATTCAGGGCCGGCTCTCTATGAATGGGCGCAGCTGTGAAGCCCAGCTATAGGCGGGCCCTTGTCCACTCTGGCCGCAGGTCCGTGGGCCAGGACTGATTCCACAGCACTCAGCGATTACCCTGAAATTACCCTCAACCATCATCCTCGGTTCCAACCTACCCTTCCCAGCAGCGCGGTGCGTTCTGCGCCAGGTGCGAACCCCACTGATGAAGGCCCTTCAAGGAAGGTTCTTGAAGCATTAGAATCCGATCCTCCTGAGCTGATTCCAAATAGCCCAAGAGCGATCAGGGCGTGGCCACCCGGCCCAGCTGTTCTGATGACCAGGGGGAAGGTATCAATGCAGAAAACTGAAGGTGGGCTGGACGGGGGCACCTGGAGGCACCGTGGGGGCCTGGGATGTGTCCTCCTTCCGTGGCGTGACTCCTCTCTGAGCGAGCCTGACGTGTGACTCCTGCACACGGCACCACAGGCATGTCACACACACCGAAGGGCTCCCCCAGGACCGCACGCTGGACAGGAAGTGCGAAGAATGAGCTCCCTCCTCTTCGCCCTGGCTTGGGAGCAGGCGGTCAGACCCCGGCTGCCCACCACATTGCCTGCACGGGGGTGACTCGGTCGGGGGCATTTGGCAATGTCTGGAAACATTTCTGACCGTTGTAACCGGGAGGATGCTATGGGGCAGGGGCCAGGGATGTTGCCAAACACCCTATGATGCGCAGGCCAGTCCCCACCACAAGTTGTCAGGCCCCCATGTCCCTGGCACCAGGGGAGAAAAACCCTGCTCGTGGTCACCTCAGGGTGACCAGGCTCCTTCAACCCCTCTGGGCTTTTGCGTCTGCTGGTCCCCTGTCCTGGAACGCCCTTCCCCGCTGGCTGTTCACAGTTCTGTCCTCACCTTCTCCGGGAGCCCTAGAAGCCTGTGTTTGCACATCCACCCAAATTTCCTCCGCCCACAGCACCACCCTGACATGGCACCTGGGTGTCTGCGTACCTGTTCCCAGGGCCCCAGGCAGCCTCCGTCTCAGACACAAATTAAAATGGACCGCATCTCATCGAGTACAATTCTCATACAACCCCTAAGAGGTGAGGGAGGGAGCTGAAGGACCTTTGTTCGGGTCTCCAACATTTTCACGGCCCCTCGAACAGCCTGTAGGTCTTTGTGCTGAAGGACCTGGAGGGGTGCAATAGAGCTGCCAGCCCCTCTGGGTTAGATTCCTTGGGAAGCAGGAAGGAAGGACGCTTCCCAGCCTTGGAATGTTCTTGCCTCGGAGAATCTGAGACCCGGGGGGACTGAGGAGTTTGTCTGCATGTAGTAGGTAAGGCTGAGGCAACTGGATTGGTGTAAGGCACCTGTTTAGAACTTCTAGTTTAATGGCCTGGTTTGTGGAAAAAGCTACCAGCTCGCACCGTCTCTGAGTCTGGAGCTGGGCGAGACCCACCTCCCACCACTGAGGAGGAGGGGGAAGCGGAGCTGGAGGAAGCTGCCACGGCTGCAGCGGGCTCTCCCCGCTCTGGGCAAGTCACTTGGCTCCACAGTTCTGACCAAGGGACGTGCAGGTGGAGGGTTTCTCTCCTCTTCACACAGTAGGGGAACAAGAACAGAGGGGGAAAAAAGGCATCTTTTGACCTACTTTAAAAAAAAAAAAGGATTCTTTTTTCTTCCAGAACAGCTGGAGCCCTGAACACTGGCCACGGGGGAGCCTGAGACCTGAAGTCGGAATAAGCGCACCTACAAAAGCCAGCTCCGGATGGTCCCGATTCGGTCTGACTCATGGCCATCGGCCTCTGGCAGGTTCCATGGGCTGGGTAAGGCAGGCTCCAGAGCCCTCGTCTATTTATAAATGAATGTAAGGGCTGGAACCCTCTGCTCTTGAGGCGATGAAAGCGCTGCACCCCCGTCCTGGGCAGGCAACTCCCAGGCTGGCTCGCCTTCCTGGGCTGAGCACCTGGCGTGGTCAGAAGCCCACTCCTGCGGGTTGGTAGCAGAAGGACCCCTTTTCTCTCCTGTGACCTAGGTCAGCACCTGAGGTGCCCCCGCATGCCGACAGCCCTTCTCCCCTCGCCCGGGGAACATGCAGTGTGTACTGCCAGTCCGTGTGCTAAGGGAGTTAGTGCAAGTCGGCTTGAGGCTGGAAGGACAAGTTCCAAGCCTAATAATCCCAGGGAAGGAGCCTGGCCAGGAGGCTTCGCAGACCTTGGGTCCCCCCACCCCCGAGGAGGAGGCTACAGTGGTCACTTCAGCCCACAGAAGTGCTGTCAACTCTGCTACCCAGAGCTATGTCAAATCCTGTGGGGTCACCACTTAAATTTTTAATCAGATTGGGGAATTTAAAATTTGTTTGTTTCTAAACAGCAAGTGGGGGAAGTGACAGAGTGCTATTTCTTTCTCAGGAGCTGCAGACGGTCCGTCCACGGAGGGCCATATGGACATGTTCACACCACCCTCGTTCTCGCAGGGACAAGCCCTGTCCTCAGGGGCAGGCCCAGGCGTGGCCCACCTGGCCCTCCCAGCGCCCAGTGGCAGGCGGCCGTCCAGGGATCGCTGCCCTCCCCGGCTCTTCCCCGGGCCCCCACTCTCCCTGCAGTAACGTCTCCTAGAATTGGGTCAAATAAATAAGCCTCCTGAACCCAATTCACTGCAGCCCTCAGAATTCCCGGGCCAGGAAGGCCTCCAGCTTCCCGGAGCAAGAAGGAGGTCATTCAATCAATGGGTTGCGTGCAGGGCGAGAGCGCGTCACCCCTCACCCCCAGCTACTTGGCCCCCAGAGCCGCCCTTTGCGCACTGCCCAGCTCTGGAGATGGCTGTCCTCGGGGCCCAGCTGACAGGCGCCAGGTGTGGTCTCCTGGGTGAAACTTCTAGAAACCCTTAAGAAATTAGGTTTTAGGGTTCCTGCCTCTTCCTATAGGCTTTCAGCATACAGGTATGTGTTAATTTGTGTAGGAATTTAGGCATGTTTGTTTACCTTGAAAAATACCCATGCTATCGCTGCGGATCTCAGGGTTCATCACACTCGCACCACACGGGAGCCACTCGCGCGGTCTGTCCGGATGACTCCGCTCTGCCTGCCACGCAGGCCTGACTGTCTCTCTTCCCCCACCGCCCCCAGCTCCCTCCGAACACAAACAGTGCAAGGAAGGAGGAAACCTTCCCCTAAGAGGCTGCTGAAGACTCGGTTTCCTTCCTTCCTCAACATTGGACAGGCTGCTGATCAGAGTCAAAAATATTTCACACAAAGACAACTCCAGACCCCACGTGCATCTGTCCCATTAACTAGCTGGGGCAGCAGCCCGAGGACGAGATGTCCCACGGGGTCCCTGAACTCGTCCCGTCTGAAGGCAAGGGCGGTGGCAGCGGCAGGTGGGGTGGGGGGTGACCGGGAGAAAGCCACGCGCTGCTCTGAGGAGAGGGGAAGACACAGCAGCTGGTACAGCAGGAACCCACCCTCAGCCACTTGGACAGGAAGTCCCCCCAGCCCCCGCCCGGGCCACTGTGCAAAAGCTCAGGCATGTGGATGGGAACGAAATGGAGGCCACAGCGGCCGTGTGAGGGCTCCGAGACACTGTCCCCATTCCCAATGGGTGTAGGCATAAACACCCAGGCTGGGCACACCCAGATAACCCAGTTCAGGAGCCAAATCCCCGTCATCCATTTATAATGACGTCCCGGTTCCCAAAGCCACAAAACCATTAGTCACCAAGCCACAGAAAGGCAACAGTAAAGCGCCCGGCAAAACTGGCCTGTTAGCGCGCCCATGGCCGAAAGACTCACCCAGACTGTCAGGGATCATAAAATGAAACCTAGGAGTCTCTAACGAGCCCACACCCACAGAACCCAAGCAGAGCCTGACCTCTAGCAAAAACCCTTACCCGAGAGGGAAAAGCTTACACACACACACATACATATGTATACACGTATCAGGGTTTGCTGAGAGCGAGGTTACTTCCACGACATATTGGTGTGATGGTACTGCTGAGGGTGATGACTTTGAGCCTCAGAGAGCTAGACTTCCTTGTAAACGCACTCGGAACACACAGTGCAATGTTAAAGCAGAACCCAGCGAAAACACAGGCACCAACGCACACCAGTTCTTACCTGCTTCTAGAAAAGTCATGTGTCTGCCAGAAAGATACTCGATCATAAAAACTTCCACGTCCAAAAAAGAATAGCTCACCCAAAATAGAGATTCCTAAGAGGAAGGAAACAGACAACTGGAAAAGAAGGGGCAAGACACCAGAAACCCAAGACAATCGCCCAGGGGAGCCAGGCAGAGCCAAGGGGACCGAAACCAAAATAAATTCCAGATGGAACAAAGCTGGGTTTTTTTCCCCTCCTCACCTTTTTATTTTGAAAAGCTTCAAAGCCACAGAGAAGCTGAAAGAACAGCACAAGGAACATCCCGGTACCTGCCCAGAGAGCCCCCCCATTGCTCACCTTGTACCACATCTGCCCCATGTCTCCCCAGGGTGCAGGCAGAGGAGGGTGTGTTTACTTTTCATCCTGAGCCACTTGAAAGCAAGTTGCAGACAGATATCACAATCCATGGCTAAGCGTCTCATTATCTATCTCTGAAGGCCATTCTCCTACAGACCTATTTTCACCCCCAAGGAATTTAATCCTGACCCAGTGGTGGTCTCTGATGCACAGCCTGTCTCCAAAGGACCCCAGCCCCACTCCCCTCGCGTTGGACGGTACCGGTTTCTGATTCGGGAGCCAATCGCGCGCTCGGTTGCATTTGCTTCCCCTGCCCTTTCACCTCCTTTAGCTTAGAGTGCCTCCCCAGGGTTAACGTGTTTTCTAGTTCCAGACCATTGTCTTTGGGATGTCCCATAATTTGGATTGGTCTAATTGTTCCTTAGAGTCAGAGTAAGGTTAACCGTTATGGCAAGAAGCTGCCACAGCTGGCGTTGCCAGCACCCCAGCGGGGTGGGGTGGGGGTGGGGGGCGCAGAGGCAGTGTGTGGCAATCCGGGGGCGCCGTGTGTAATGCCTGGCTTGTGGGGTGCATTTCTAAGTACAGAGAAGAGAGATTAAGTATGTTAGAAGAAAACACAGGGGAAAAATAGTGGGAGAAGAAAACAATATGAAATAAAACCTAGAAGTGATCAAAGATTTAAAAATCTGATTACATAAAAAGCGAACTCTCTGTGTGGGGAAAACTATAATCAAAAGAACAATAATAAATTGTGGAACTATGTGTAACATATATCACAGCTTTAGAAAAAACTTCCTTAATATATAAAGAATAGCTATAGATTGATAAGAAAATAAGACCACCAAGCCAAGAAAGAAATGAGCAAACAATATAACAAATTGCTCATTAATGGCCCTCAGAGATATGCAATGATGCTTTATTTCCTCATAAGAAAAATGCAAATTAGAATTATATTAATATACCACTTTCCATCAACTCAATTAGCAACCACCAAAAAGTTTAACAACTTCTGCCAAGGTATGAGGGAAATAGGTATTCTTGTACAATTTTAGTGGGTATATAAAATATTAGTATCTCCATGAAGGGCAATTTGGCAATACAAATAATGAAAATAGATGTACACTCTACTCTAAAAATTCATCCTGTAGGAACTTATCTTACAGATACATGTACCCAAATGCATGAAGATATATGTAGACTATTCCTTGTTAATGGTAACAAAAGACTTAGATGCTCCCCAGCAGGGGACTGGTTTAAAAAAAAACCCAATGCCCTGGCTGGTGTAGCTCAGTGGATTGAGCGCGGGCCTGCAAACCAGACAATCTCGGTTCGATTCCCAGTCAGGGCACATGCCTGGGTTGCAGACCAGTTCCCTGCAGGCCAGTTCCCAGCAGGGGACGCATGAAAGGCAACCATACATTGATGTTTCTCTCCCTCTCTCCTTCCCTTCCCCTCTAAAGATAAATAAATTTAAAAATCTTAAAAAAAAAACAAAAACTAACCACTCAAAAGAATGCCACAGAACAACTAAAATGAGTGAGGTAGTTCTAAATGACCTTAGATGAGCAACTTAACCGCTCTGTGCCTCAGTTTACCCACCTGCAAACTGGTCAACAATAACAGCACTTACTTTGTAAGCTCGTTGGGAGGAGTGAATGAGCTGATGTAAGTACAGCATTTTCAACAACAGCCAGCATGCAGGAAGTGCTCAAGAGGTATCAGCCTAATGATGGCGGTGGTGGTTACGCAGAGTTCTAGTGTTCATGGTGAAGTGAAAAAAACAAGGTGCAGAACACCGTGTATTACAATATTTAAAAAAGCGCGTGTCAGGCCTGTGTGCGATCGCACGTGTGTGTGGTGTGTGGTGCACTTGCCCACAGGCAGGGTGTCTCTGGTTAAACTGTACAAGACACTGGTTGGCTGACAGCGGTCTCTTTCGGGGACAGGAATCCAGGGAAGAAGGAAGATGTAGTTTTTTCATGGCTTTTAGAGAGACAGGGAGGGGGAGAGAGACAGAGAGAGACGTCGATCTGCTGCCTCTCGTAGGAACCTCGACCAGGGACCAAACCCACAGCCCAGGTATGTGCCCGGACTGGGAATAAGCCACAACCTTTCCGTGTACAGGACGATGCTCCAAGCAACTGACCCACGGCTGCCAGGGCCCCACAGAGCCCCTGGCATTCTGTACCACGGACATGCATTTTTTCATAGGAAGTGGAATGGGGTCAGAATATGAGAACCAAAGAAAGCGGGCTCTTCCTCTGGGCGGTCCCGCCAGTCCAGTGCGGTGCCTGGTGCTGAGCGTTCAAGCTGCACCGTCATCGCTCACAGGTGTAAGAAACCGTCTCCTCCAGGAGACAGAAAGTGAGGGCAGACGGCCAACACCTGGAGCAAATGTAAGGCGATGGCGACAGGCTGCTCTCAGGCGGCAACGGCAGCCTCACCCCAGGTGGGAGGGTCCCAGGGTAAGCTCTGGAAGGCTGCTCTGTGAAGGAAAGCAAAATGGCCACAGACAGACACCCCCACAGCTGGTGTGCTGGCCTGCAAGCCCCACCACGTCCTCCCAAAAAGTCACTGGCACCCCTGTCTTCCCGCAGCTCCAACAATCGGCCAGAGGGATGCCATTTGCTTTGAAAGGCCACCGCGCAGTGCCCACAGTGGGGACAGAGGCAGTGGGGGGTGGGCGGCAGAGGTGTTGTTGAATGGCCTCCACCTCAGTGGGGAAGCTCACCCTGGCCGGAGCTCACCCTGGCCGGAGCTCACCATACCCGCTTCCCTAGCCCTCCTCCTGCACCTTCCTTTGTAAATAAGATTGGGTCATCCAGGGGCGCAGGCCTACCATTTCACCCGCCTAAATCCCCAAATCATCCTGGCAGTACTTCCCGCTTGATGGAATGTAATAAGGCTCCCTGACCCTTCTGCGCCCCCAGTGACACCGGAGAAACTTAAAGTTACAAATGGAAAGTCATTCGCCTGTCCTCTACCTGCAGAGAGTGGAGGAAACCCAGAGGGTCTGGAACACGTTTATTTCCCCCTCCTGCAGCAGAAGGACATTCTGTGAGGACAGGGGTCAGGATGGGTCTGTCGGAAGCCAGGGCTGCCTGGGGTTGTGAGGCCTTGGTCCGGGCGGGGAGGTCAAGGCTAGCTCATCTCCTGGGAACGTGAGTGAGTCCTTGGTCTGCCTGGTGATTTTGCAGGAAGAGCAAGGGTGGGGCTGACCCTGTGGGAGGTGTTTGGGCCCACCAGGGTCCCCGATCTCCGCAGGAAGCTCCCCGTGCAGAGTCCAGGACTGCAGAACAACAAGGCGGCAACTCCATCTGCCCCGGGTTGTTTTCAGTCCAGGGACTCGGACCACAGAATCCCACATCAGGAAACGTGTGGGTTGGGTACTCAGGAGGTGCTCCGGCCTGAAAAAACCTCAACTGGAGCTGCTCTCCAAAAGCCTCCCACCCAGCTCTCCACGTGGGAGAGGATATGAAAGTGGGTCACGTTCTCCAGGCTGAACTGGCGTCCCTGTGGGCTCAGACCACACTTGCAGAAATCCAGGGACACTGAGTGACCTGGTCTCCTGTGGAGCCAGCCATTTGCTCCCAATCAGGTGCTCAATGAGGGGGGAGCTGCACAGCACCAGGAAGGCAGCAGCCCTGTCAAGGGCTGGGCGAAAGTAACCTCCCCCAGCGGTATACCACGCTGTCCTGGCCCCTTCCCCTCACCCCGACCGACCGTGGGCAGGTGGCTCTGCCCGCCCTTGGCCCTCGCCACCCCTGCCCTAGCTGGAGGGGGACAGGAACACTGATTTCTTATGAATTGCTGGGCCTCCCTGACTTTGCTCTTTGTAGGGACCCCGAGGACTGAGGCATCCACAGGCATCGGTTTTTCAGGAACCCCATGAGCATGCCGGAGAGCGCCGCCTAGAAGCCAGCCCCACAGCCTGCTGGCTGCCGCATGCCTGTTTTCCAAAGTGGGCAGAGGGAGGGAGACCTGTCAGGCAGAGAGAGCATTCCGGTGGGACCAGGTCTGGCAGGCATTTTGTAAGAAAGGCACTGGCCTGGTGGCATAACCGCAGAAAACTTTGGAAAGAGCCCACTGCCCTGATCCGGAACTCTCCCTGACTTGAACTCCAGCGACTAAGGGTCAAGGCCAGGCATGGAAATGAAGTTCTTGCTAACCACTACCACTAGATGCTAATTGTTTCTAAAGATGCCCACACCAAGAGCGGCTTTCGTTACCTGTGGCACAGAAGGGCTCCAGCCCGTGAACTCTCCCCTTGCTCTTCCCGGAAGCCAGGGCAGCCCTCCACCCCACCGCCCTCCCGGGGCAGGGGCCCCTGGGGGCCGACGTGCACATCTGGAAATCATATCCTGACTCTCCCCCCTGGGGTTCAAAACGCTCCCCCAACACTTTTTTTCTTTATTCACATGACTCCAACTAGATAATAAACCTCGTGGCGCGAGACTTATAAGGGAAGGATTATTTTTACCCCGCTCACCACAGAATTCCCAGTGGGACCCAGACTGTAATAAAAGCCCAGTAAATATTTATTAATTGAATTAATGAATCATTAGAAGGGAGGAGAAAAATGAAGGAGAGATGGAAGGCAGCCATCGCTTCTTGGTATCTCTGTGTTCTTGGCTATTTCTTTATAATAAGAAATCACAGGCAGGCTTAGCACCCAAGCCCTTTAACCCTTTCGTGGGCTGTGCTACATCCTCGGTGGTGTTGTGATGATACACACCTGCTTCCGGAAGCTCGTCC